AGTTAATTAATAATTTTGGTCAAATTGCGTGTTTCTTTGGCCTACTTCAGATTCAGACTTTAGCACAAATGGCTTAAATTAAATAAACATGAGGCAAAACACTTATTTTGATTTAGTAAAATGTGGGGAGTTTTTAATTTCACGTCTTTGTGCTGATAATTCCTTTGCTAAAAATGTGAATTAATTTATGTGCTTTTATGGACGCTTGTAGGTTTTATGTATATAAAATTTGCGAAATTGCCTAATTTTTGATTTTTTGCTCTTTTTCAATAGTAAATTTAAATGTTATTTATTGTTTGTCGCCATCAAATTAATGATTTAAATTTATAATTATTTATTAAATTTGCTTCAAAAATTTCCATAAACTTATTACTGAAAAAGGGTGATAATTGCGACCTCAGGACAATTCCATTCATTTTGTTAATAGAAATTAACATTATGCACCAACCAATCAATAAATTGACTTTCCACCAGGGGCGGATTCAACCTCATGACAAAAAAATAATTGAAAATACAAACACGAAGCAAATTTACAAAATTATTTGCAAATTTAATAAATTTTAAATGCGGGAATCCTCAAGACCAAAGAAATAAAAAATACCAATCATACATAAAAAATCAAGAATTTTATAAATCATATGAGCTTTATTTGTTATGGATTTTGGAATCTGTTGATTCCCGTCATCCTTGGAAAAGTCCAAAGATAGAACAGATTCCATATTTAGAGAGACGCTACCTACACACATCGAATCCGTTCTAGCTTTGAACTTTTTCCAAGAATGATGGAAAACTCTACAGCTTCCAACATCCCTTCCACCCTATTTTGGTTTTCCTTAATTATTTAATGAGTTTCTACGAAAATCTACGCATTGAGTGTTCAGATTGAATCAAACTACCATTTCACATTACTCTAGGAAGTGCTGAACATGTGCGAAAAGAGGCCAATTTAGAAAATTACTAGAGAAAACACAAGCTATTCATTATAATGTAAGATATGGCCACAAAGCTAATTTAAATATGAATAATAGCGACACGAAATTGCACACACATTTGCAAGAGCATTCAATTAAACCTTATCTGTGATAAATCGCAACAGTTTTTTTGCAAACTTAGGTGCACCTGCTTGTTAGTCTAGCCCACAAACAAAAAACACAAACTGAATATTAATTAGTTTAATAAATTCATCAATCGAATAATAACAAAATCAATGTTGTTCAAGTCTGTCCACTCTAAATTCTTGATTTTGAGGCCCTAATGGACTTTTTTATACCAACCTGTAGATTTTATTTCATATTAAGTTAGAAGTTATTTTAAAAAATTCACTGACGATTGCAATCATGATTCAGCTTTTCCACACCGAATTTCCACCCATTTAGTTCTACGAATGACTCCTTTACCGATACTAAGTACTTGCTAATCACGGTTGTTTACTGTGTTTATCGAATGTATTGTTCAAGTTCAAAGAATTGTCGTCCAAATCCCACTAGCTTCCAATTGGTTTTACATGCTGCATAATAAGCTTTTGAAAGGCTTGCAGATCAAGCAACTATAAGTTTCTACACTCACTATTTGCCCCATTAGTTATAAAAATAACTCCGCCTGGGTATTTATGGAATCACTATTATTTATTAACTTATCTGGTAATTATGATTACATGTATGAATAGGCGATTGTGTTTATCCGGCGCCAGCGAAAGACGCCGGTTACACGGCTGGGGCCTCGTTCCAATGGACTTTGACTTTGTCAGATTAATTTTAATTTCCTATTAATATAAAACCTTTCTAAATGCAATTATGAGTAAAAGAGTTGTAAATAGGGCGCATTGAATGCAGGTAATTAAAACATTCTACAGGACCGATTTCAGGCTAGCACTATGCAATTATACACCATATTTCAAATCTTCGGATTCAAAATCGAAAGGACCTTTCGAGGAACGTAAAATAGTTTTTATGGAAAAAACCAACGAACCTTCGATAGTTCTGCATTCAATTTTAAATTTTTACCTTTCCGAATTTTTCTGCATGAAAATATTTGCGATATGTTTAATGGGTACGTTCACCCAGTTTCTCCACGATAGAATGTTTTGCAAAATCGGGCTTAAAAGTGAAAATAAAACACTTTAGGGTTGAAACACAGCTGAAGAAGGAAGCGACTCCTGGCTGGCGAATCTCAGGAAGTATTTCTCAACAAATCTTTAATGATTCTTGATTAAACTAATTAATTTTACCTCAAAAACACCGAAAATTGGTGTTTGTTTGAAACTATTATGAAGTATAAGCATCATGGATAAAGTAATCAAAGAATTATCGACCTGTAAATATTTTGAGAACATTAGATCGCGCTTCAGACAATCGCACCTCAATAGCATGATTACTGCTTATTGATTGCCTCATTGCTTTTATTATCTTTATGCGAATGTGAAAAAAATTCGCACGTCATTTTCGCAAAATATCTAATAATCAATCATTCGAATGGCATCAATGTTTGACATTGAACTCGATTAATGGATATTATTTATTGAGCCCATAAACAAAATAATTTATCTTTGGCGGACAATAATAATTACGTTAATGCAAATTTTCGATTACCGAAAAAGCGATGTAAATGCATGGCCGGCCGACACTGGCTGATTGCAGAGCCAGCAATAAGTTCGATTTAAAAATTGCAGAAATACATTTAACTTCTCTCTCTGCGATTAATTGTGCACCCAACTTCCATTATTCCTTAACAGGCAATTAAAAAAAAGACAGCAACTATACTCAAGGAGAGGAAAACAAGTCTAGTCGAGTTTAGTTGTGATAAAGGTATAATTTGCCTTCGATAGCACCGGTTTAAATTATTGGCTCAGATCGGGGATTAAGTTTTACACAAAACTGACCTTGCAATTTTGTAATCACAAGAATGGTTGCCGAGACCAGGGCGTGGCATACTGGCGCTATATTATTAATAAAAAAAAAACCCTAGCAAGAATGAAATTACAACGCAAGCATTGTCTAAATACTCTTAATGTATGCGTCGACAATGACAAATACTTGTAACAGTTGTACTAAAGAAAGTCTTTTTCTTATTTGTATTTGTTGTTCGTGTAATGCTCTCACATCTTTTCATTCATTTATAAAAATATCTTAAGAAAGTGAGTCATAATGCGGGGTTGTGTGTGCAAGAAAGTTACAATCAAATAAATTATAAAAATAATTGATTGACTGCTTCAATGTAAGATCAATGAAACGTTAACGAGTTGAGAGAAAATCGCCCAAATTACATGGAATATTGGCACTAGTTGTAACATTGTACAAATACCGGTTTTTTAATGGCTCGTTGTGTTGGTTCACACCATATTTATCTGTATTTAGATCAAGCTTCGTTTAATGACCTTGTCTGATCGATAGTTGTTCTAATGAGTCTTGTTTTACCGCTCATTACGTATTCACGCACGAAGATAGAGTTTGTTATCTCGTTTTATATACTTTCCCATCGGCGCGGCCTTCGAGGGAAAACCTTTCTATAGGAAATGCTAATGTGCCAAGAGATAAAAAGATCGAGATGAGAATATTGATTTTGACTTTAGAACGATTGTGAAAAATTGATTTGATAAATCGATGATTTCATGGTTGGAAAATCGCTATTATTCACTACGATTTCGCTGAAATCGCTTTATTTCCTGTGGGTTAATGCAAAAGTTGTTGCATTTATCGATGTGAACAACCAGATCAACCAACTATACAGAGTGTCAGCTTGATATGCAAAATGCTTTATTTGTCAATTCTTCTAGGACTAATTACACAAATTATTCTTTTCACTTTTCCTGATTTTTAGAGGAAACATGTCAGGTTTACCACATTTTAAACACAAGTTTTACACTATTCAACAAACACAAAGCGCCGCCTAAAATATAGATCTGCGAAAGAAGTATTAATTAAATTAAACGAAAAACTTGAATCATTCTAAAAGCAAACAATAGACCTTTTCGCATTAGGTCGATTGAACACAACCTAACCGACACTTCTCTAGGAATTATCCATGGCTAGGAGTTTATGTGTTATAATCATTATTGGCTTAACGAATGTGGAAAGTTCTAACTTAACATTAAATGTTCAACAGATCCCCATTATGATTTTGTCCATTCAAATGGCATTTGGAGCAGTACAATCTACATGAGAATATAATATATAATAGATAAAAATTGGTAATAGAAACATATTCAATACCAAACATGATAAAAGCGATGTGTTATTTCGATCATTCTTTGCGCTCTTGGTCTTTTTAAACAAAATGCATTTAGTGGGCTGGAAAAATAAATCAACTGGCGTTAAATCTGGTGACCGCGATTGTCATCTCACTGATTTATTACTGCCAGTTGCATCCGAACGCTCAAGAATGTTTCGGTTTATACGTTCTAGCAAAACACTGAACAAAAGCAATTTAATCACTAGCAATAATTCTTAAAAAAGTACGCGAATTATTTTTTTTTCTAGTCGTTATAGAAGTTATGAAGTGCAGTAAAGAAAAGTGAAAGGGGTAGTTTCCCTTCACTAGAGTACGTTCCAATTATTTTCAAAAGTTAAAAAAAGTCACCAACGTCTTTCCTTGGCGGAAATTTTGCACAAACTTTCCTTAAATTATTTCAAAGAAAAAATTAACCACTTCAGCTTTTTGCCATCTTCTCAACGCTGTATCTGCCTTATACATAGTTGATATGTAATCTAATATTTTATACCAAACCACCGGTTATTTTCGGTTCTGCTTTAAAACACTCTGTATACTTTAAAAGCCAAAAGAACAAAATAACTGCATATATTGAGCATGGACTTTCCAACAAAAACTGAATCAATTTGAAAGCGGTTTCAAATTAATTTTTCAAT